AATCTACTGTCAAAATCAACTATAATTAGCAACAAAGAAAAGTACATTCAAATAAGGTCCACCAAATCTTTGTTGGGATATTCTCAATGGTAACCCCCAACTTCTACTACGCAGCAACGGTAACCCCCTTTTTTTTGGATTATACAAAATGACCTTAGTTAAAAATTTCATCCCACTCATAACCTTATTTCATTAAATATTAACTATGGTTATATTTATACTTTTTTTAAAAAAAGAAAAATTAAAAAAATTAATCCCAACCCCCAATCCCCCATTGATTCCGGCCAACCTCTCCTCTTTCCCCTCACTTTCCACCGTTCTGGCTAGCCCACTCCCCAACCACCTCTTTGCCGCCCTCCCCCCAACCACCTCCTTGCCGCCCTCCCCAAAAACACCTCCTTTCTGCGCACAACCACCCCAAACCACCAACCCCATAGTAAAATTGGGCAGAGTATAACTCTGAAAACCTCCATTCACAACTTCAATATCTTGTGACATGAAAGATGGCATTACAACTGGGAGAGGGAGGGTGAAAGCTTTTCTAATTGAAGGGTTCCACAAAATCAAAGGAACAACACGATAAGATGAATAATCAAACACACAAATTAACCCATGACAACAACCAACAATTAAGCCCATATATCCAACAGGAGAATCAATTTCTACCCAATTATCTAATGGTTCATCAAAATTATGCAAAAAAAATTTACAAGGAACACTATATAGTGTAGTAACAACATTTTTGGAGGAGGGGTTTAATTGATGCGATAAATGAAGAGAAATAAAAGATGGGTTTGTGATTAGAGAATACCATGATTTGCAAACAGACATGAATCGGAGTAATGATGCTACTGGTAGGCGTTTGAGGATTTCCAATACCAATTCTTAGGGTAAATTCGGGTTTGATTTTGGGCGATTTCTTATGTGATAAACCAGAAGATTAAAAGGGAGTTTACTAATTTGATTATGGAATTCATGGATCTAGATTTTGTGTCGTTCAGCCATTATCGAGAGCAACTCAGATGTTGAGAGTTTTATGGTTGACAAAGTTATATCTGGCGGGGATGAGGGTGGAGGTGGTGGCTGGGTTGGTGGGTTTTTTTTTTTTTTTTTTTTTTTTTTCTCCTCAAATTTAACCATAGTTAGTTTTTTTTTAAATAAATAACACTCATTAATGTCATATGTGAGACAAATTTGTTAATTAGGGTCAGTTTGTATAATCCAAAAAAAGGGGGTTATCGTTGGTGCGTATCAGAAGTTGGGGGTTACCGTTGAGAATATCCCAAATTTGTTATAACAATTATAGCTAGAGTGTAAAAGTAAATAAAGAATAATATCCATAATTATAGACCATCCATTCACTTTCATTCTCAACTGATATATATACTTCACCCTCAAACGTGTTCCTTTGCAAAAGTAATTTCTTTCTGATTCAATATTATTATACTTAAAGCAAAGCAAAACCTACTATTTACACACTCTACAAATCTAGGTAATTTGCTACACTCTATAATCTGTTTCAATATAATAAATGCTACTTGAATATTGTAGTTATTCTTTGTTATTTGAGATAAATATTGTTGTTGTTTCTTGATTTATGTCTTTAATTAGTTAGCAATTTTTAATGCTAATAATCCACTATCTAACAACAACTTTGACAATTGAATACAGGGTTAAAAATGAAGCCAAGATTGATATATTTTGAAGAACTAAATCCTAAAACTAAAGAGTGCAGAATCCAAGTCAAAGTAGTAGCCATTGGAAACGAACATCTATCTTTCAGTGATGTTACTCTCTACCAGACACTCCTATTTGTTAAAGAAAAGGTATATTATGTACTTATTAGGCCTATCCACAATCTATACTTATAAATATAGTTTTTTTACTGATCAATTTAATATATAGCTTTCCCTTTCCTTAGAATATAGACACATAAATGCTATCCCATCCACTTATATAACAACATATATGTTACTTTGGCAAAAAAAAAAAAACAAGTCCTGATTGTATAGCATACTAACTTATATGATTTGTATCCTTCAATTTAATTTAAATTTTTAACCATACTACTTTGAATATCAAGAGAAAAGAAACCATATAATTATGTACGTAATGAATATAGAAATGACTTATCTATTGTAACACAAAATAATAAATTAAAGTAAAAATTCAAAGTATTTCTAGATATATACTGTTATATAAGTGAAAATTCAATATGATCTGTATGATCTCTATATAAGAAAATGCTTAGTTTTATATAATTATTAATGCAAAATGTAAAATAATGCTCTATTTCAACATTGTTGTTTTAATCAAACATGACTAATTTATATTGATATAGCATATACATTTTTCTAACACATAGACTCATAATTTTTGTTAAATAGGGAACTTTGATACATGGTCGTTTGATTAAAGATGAAATACAAACTATTGGACCAGAATTTTCAATGAATAGGCACTATGAAATTAGCAATGCTCCTGTGAAACTGATGCCAAAACATTTCGAGATTGCTGTTACAAAAATTCCATACAAAATAACTTTTGGAGCACTAGCTTTAATTCATCCAATATGTCCAATAACTGGTCATGATGAACCTGATTTTGCTGAAATATCTTCAATTGCTACAGCTCATTATCTTTATGAAATATGTGGTATGGTAAATTATTCTTTTCATAGTGCTTTGTTGATACCCTATGTGATTTAACATCACTTTATTGCAGAACTGAAACCAGTAGCCACCTTTACACAAGATATCTGTGACAATTCTACATATGGTATATCAAACTAATACACTTATAAACCCTAAGAAAATACTAATAAGATAACCACTAGCATTTGCATCCTATTTCTAGACGTGTTAGGCATAGTGTTATTTGTAGAAGAAGAAGCTCGGCTGGTTGACTCATTCTATGGTCAGCAGGACTATGTTAGAGAGGTCGTTATAACAGACCAAACATAAGGCTATTTTCATTATCTTTCACATTAACATCATTATACAATTCAATAGCCTAGGTAGAAGCAATCTAATCTCCATGTTGTTTTGATAGCAATACACAACCTGTAATTGTTAATCTGTGGAATCATCTTGCTGGGAGTGCATGTGACACTTTGAACGTGTGGGCTAAAAAGTTCATAGTAGTTGGATTCACATCAGTTAAACCTAGTAGGTTACAAGGTTAGTATTTCCTATTAAACAATGAGTACACTGTATAGCATTGCAAATAGCTAATTACCATTTTTTCCTTATAGGGTTTTCTTTATCTACTGGAATGTGCACTAAAATTATCTACAATCCAGAGGGTGATAGAGCCAATGGTTCTGAGTGAATGGTACTTAGGCTACACTCAGTAAATTCTGAAATATATTCCACTTTATGTAACCTATTCTAAGACAATATCAATACCATAGGGCAAAGCTTTACACACAGTTGCTACTAGATCGGCAGGACAAAATTTTACAAGTTCGTTATCCTCAACAGCACCAAGGAACTGTCACAATTCAATACTTGAAGGAAAAGAAGGTTTATTGATCAAACTATACATCCTTACATTACATACATGCAGTTCCTTTTCTTTTATGGATCAAACTTCAGTCTAATCATCTAACCAAACTGACTATGCTAATTTATCACAGCCACAAAATGCATTACAAAATGAAAGGCATTGGATACCTGCAACTATACAATCTGCAACATTGGACCAGCTGATTGTATACTTAGGCTGCTTACAATGTGGAAAACCCACAAATTATCCAGAAGGAAGACACTTTGCATGCAAAAAATGCTACACACGAGAGATAGTGTCTTGTTTCATGCAAATTTAGCTCTTACTACAACTAATTGCATATAACTTTGTTAATTATAATTACTCTTTTTTTTTATTGTGTATTCAAACATTTGATGCAGAGTTGTGTTTACTTTTGACGTTGTTGACACTATTAACAGCATCTCCTTCACAGCATTGAACAATGAAACAGAGAAAATATATGAAATGAAGGCATATCAGCTCTGTGCTATGAAGAAAAATGTAAGATTTTTGTTTCAATAAATCAATATGTAGATTAAATGAGAAATACATTTACCGCAAAAAGGTATTATACCCTATTTCATTCTAAATACTCACAGCAATACTAATATTATCACAGCAAGACTTAATGTCTTTTACCATTGAACAAATGAAGATCAATACAAAACTGTTCCATTTCAAAGTTGGACCGACACTGGCCTTGACTACCAACAACACACTCAAATGGTCACTAGAATCAGTTGCCATTACAAATATCAATGACCACGAAGACATAATCGCTAACAAAACACCATTCCCTAATTGGTCGATGCATAAACAAATGCGAACATCACAGAAGAGAAAGCAGCAGCAGATGCTCAATGAAACAAACACTAAGTTAAACAAGATCTCTTCTCCTGAACAATAGAACACCATACCAGCTCCTGATGCTACAACAGAAGAAAAAGAACATAGACAAGTAATAGGCAAATCTAAAGCACCAGTTCCACACCATGAAATATGAAATGCAACTCTTGCAAGCTTGGGTGAGAATTCCCTTTTGCTAGAATATATATTCAGCTTAGAAATCACTAGGCGAAAACACGTAATCAGCACCGGTTCAAAACCCCCATTTAGCACCGGTTTTGAATCGGTCTTGATTTGGGGGGTGCTAAAACCCCAGACATTTCGCACCGGTTCAAAACTGGTGCGAAATCAGACTTTTCGCACCGGTTCTAGTTGAGAACTGGTGCGAAAAACCACACTTTTTGCACCGGTTTTGACTTAGAGCCGGTGCCAAAAGTCCCCAAAAAAATTTAAAAAAAAAAAACTTTTTGCACCGGTTCTTTTCCAAAACCAATGCCAAAAATGCCCAAAAAAAATAAAAAAAAAAAAATTTTGCATTTTTTTCACTTAAATTGTACCAAATACTTATATATAATCATAATATACATAAAACACATATATTTTCTTCAATAACTTGTAATATTACATTTTTAAAAACTAAAAAAAAAAAAAAAAACACTTGAGATTTCAGTTGAATGCTGACTAGTTCTTTGCGATGTAAGACCCTAAGGAGATGGTGCAGGTATTTCATGACTCGTACATATTCTAACATACAAATTTTTTTTAAAAAGTTTTTTTATAATCAAAATGATGGTGTAATTCAAACTATGAAGTAAAACTTGCAAATGCGCCAACACAGTAGACAGAACAGGCCAGTGGATGTGCTAGATCAGGAAACATATATGGGCTCTGGCTCCTGCTTTCTTTTGATCCTGCAAGCACGGGAGGGGATGTAATACAAATAGAATCGAAATATGGAAACTTAAACAATTGGACTTTAAACTTTCTAAACAACCTGTCAGATGGTAATCTTTTAGCATACATGTTTACAGGACATTCATCTGAGTCAACTAACCAAGGCTATGCAATTATCCAATTACATGTCTTTGCCTCATTTGAGCTAGGGAGTGATCTTGATTCTGAGGGATGCTTGTAGCCCAACTAGCAAGATGAGAGAGGTAGATGAGAGAGGAGAAGTGATCGAGGAAAGAGAAATTAAGAAAGAAGACATAAAGAGAAATTAAAGAAAGAACAAAAAAGGTCGGGTTTTAAGTTGTGCATATTTGCTAATTTAGTCATAAATAAATTCTACATAAGAAATAACCCCTTTACTGGACCCTGGCCTTATCTTGTTATTGATAAAAAGAGATCCTATGATTCATGAAACCCAGGAAAATATAGAATTCTGGTTCTCGTATCTGCCTGATGGCAAGTAGAACTTTTGTGTGATAACATTTTTCAATTAATCAATGGTGGATTAACATATAAAAGAGAGAACATAGAGCATAGCAAAGAGAATACACAAAAGTGAACAAAATCCTTACCTTTTAGCAACCAAATCAGTTTTATTTCCAACAAGGACAATAATCACATCACTGCCACGTTCTGTCCATACTTCATCAATCCACTTCGTAGTGCTGAGAAAGGATTGCCTATCTGCATGATGAAATTGGCTACAGTTTTATTATCAACAAATAACCAAAGAGAATAATATTGGTTCAAGAAAAAGCAAGCATCAGCAGGAATTGTACATTACTAGTACATGGTTTCACCCATGTACTTGTGCATTAAGGAAACATAGAAATATAAGAGCTTCAGTCAAGACAAATTATATCATAGGTAAATTTTCATGTGTCCTTAAGGCATTAACATGTAAAAATGATCAAGGTTGAAGTCATTAGCATACAAAGCACTTACTAGAAACATCATAGACGATAACAGCAACTGAAGAATCTCTGATGTAACTGGGAATAAAACTCCCGAATCTTTCCGTCCAGCAGTATCCCTGGAATTAGCAGTTAAAGGTTCAGAACATGGGATAGAATCATATAAATCAAGTCTACAAGACAACAATTTATATTGGTAAATCATTAAATCGTCATGAGATGGAAAATCTAGAGATTTCTGCTATTATAAGCAATGAGTTCAGGTCACTTAAGAAATTTGTTTGTTACTGCTTTAACATGAATATACATTAACTGAAAAGAAATTTGACGGTATCATACCTGAGCTGCAAGCGCACTGTTCGATCTTCAAGATACATGGTTTTCGACAAGAAGTCAATCCCAATAGTGGCCTGCCATTGAGTTGACATTATTAAAATATATCAAAATAATACATGTCCTAGATTTCAATATACATCAAATACACAATAAACAATACCAAAGAATAAGAGTTGCCCATACGGCTATACCAACATGATTTCATGATGATGTAACCTGAAGTTTGGATGGCCAAAATTATTTTGGAGTATTACTTTATACTTGTAGGATATTAGGATCTCACTAATTTCCAATTCTAAACTTGTCCGTTAGATATTGAGAAATCTCCACTATATATATTAAATGGTCCAACTCTAGGATGAGAAAAATATACTATATAAGTAAAGCATACAAATTTGAAAAGGAACTGCAAATTTTATTACAGGAAGTTGAACTCATCTCCTATGACAATTTGGCTCAGTGATTGATATCATTCATGAAAAATCATGGCAATCTATAATTATATTGTTGGCTATGAAGTGCAAACTATCGTTTAGTACAGGTCATGCCTCCCACGGAAGATTTTTTTTAGAAAAAGAACTCGGTATCATGCATCTTGGTTTTATCAAAGACGTCCTTATTTGACTTTAAAACTTCAAGTTTCTGGATGGTGCAATATACCAAATTACCAATTACTAGTGTATATAATTACAGGAAGAAAAAAAATTCAACTTTGATGACTGATATCTGAATCATAGCCAAAGTTAGATGATTCGTACCAAATTTATCCTACCAGAAACTAAGGTTGGGATTGATTCTACCTGAAACTAAAGTCACCAGACCCAAAACATAACAAAATGACCCCATTGTCACCTTTAAAAGCCCCTACTTGGAGTCATGCCTCTGATTCTATGATCAGTCAACAAATTACAGAACCATGCACTTGATTGCGGAATGACAAATCTTTGACAAACTATAATTCCTGGTACATATTGTAACAAAATTGCAATTGTATCCTAAATTAATGAAAATTCTCTCGAAAAATTTGTAATCCTAGCGTGAAATAGGGTAAGTTAGGCACAAATACATAATTCAATAAAATAAAAAAAAATAAAATAAAAATAACAGCAAAATTAGGCATAAAATCATATCATTTGAAAACAATTAGACAAACTAACATCAATTCCAACAAAATCAGCAACCATAAAGGACTTCCTTAGCTTAATAGCAGTAGATCACAAATTTCCAGCAAAATTGAATATCAAAACTTTGACCAGTGATAGGTAGACAAGATTTAAAAGAAATTAATGCTTCTAGGATAGCAATTCATACCCTGTAAGTTGTAAGGTCAGACAGTCATGTTTCAATCTTCAGTATTTTAAACTGTGGACAGTAGTTGTTTCTCTTCACATAATATTTCTGAAAGAACAAAAGATTATTAGATAATTTGCTCAGATCCTCTTTCTCGTAGTCACACTAATGAGAAAGACTAAAAATATAGCCCTAACCCTAAAACCCCCAAAAATTTAGCCTTAACCCTAAAACCCCCAAAAATCAACAAATTAAAATCTTTAATAACAAAATTATGAAATCATCAACAATAATAATATTCAGATTATAAAACCAATTCAACCAACAATATTATGAAAAAAATAGGGTAAAGGAGAAGATATTATTGCTCATCACCATGAAGACGGTGGTAGACGATTTCCGATTAAGTTATTAACACAAATACACAATAACACTTAAAATCTAACCTTAGAGACTGCTTCAAGCCTTCAAAGCCTTCAATGGAGGAGTTGAGGAGAGAAAGCTCGGAAAGTCCGAATTCAGAAGCCGCTTCAATGGAGAATTTCGAGTACGCTCCACGCCTCCACAAACCAAACCCTGCAACAAATTAGCATTTTAGCAACCAAAATTGACTCAATTATCAACCCATAAGGCCACAATTATCCGACTTTGAACTTTCGAAGAACCCTAAAAGCCTAAAATCCTAAATTGAGTATATAGTGACAATTTATTAATCAAATTAGGCCAATGATTAAAGAAAAAGAAGATCTACCTTTGAGACTGCTTCAATGGAGCCGTTGAGTTTTGTGGGTGGGTTTGTGTTACGTAGGTGCTGGGTTGGGTTTTGTGGGGGTGGGGGATTTTTTGGGTGGTTTAGGTTTCGGCGATGGTGGGTTTTTAAGGTGAGAGAGGCGATGGTGGTGGACTGGTGGGTTTCAGCGACGGTGCTGGCTTTGATGAATGATTTCTTGGGTGGTTAAGTTTTCGGTGATGGTGAGTTTTTGAGGAGAGAGAGGCTAGATGAGAGAGAGAGGTAGATGAGGAATGAAAGAGAAAGAACGAGACCAGATTTTTTTTTATTTAGAAAGAGTTTTGGCACCGATTCGGTTTGAACCGGTGCGAAAAACAAACTTTTCGCACCGGTTTGGTTAGAACCGGTGCGAAAAACTAACTTTTCGCACCGGTTTGGTTAGAACTAGTGTGAAAACTCTATTTCCCAATCCCGCCTATTTTTTTCGCACCGGTTTTCAAAAACCGGTGCGGATTGTGCGGTGCCTATTTCATTTTTTCTACTAAGTGAATAGCAGTATATAAATGCTGCATTTTACTCATTCTACAGCACTCTAGGTTTAGAGACTATTAAGGGAAATATATGTCGTTGCTGCATTTTGCTTATTTTGTAGACTTAAACTTTAAATAGCCTACTAGAAAGCATTGATGTTAATAGATTGTAGGCCTTTTGAAAGGTTGTGAAGAAACACAAGTGCTAATATGTGTTCGTACATAACACTTTATCTATAGATAGATCAGATTAAGCTGCCTAAGTAATTAGTTTCTGTAAACCTAGGCTAAATGTTTTGATGCTTTTCAATGAACATGTAGCGTAGATAATACATGTTCTTATGAAAAACATATTCCATATATAATTTGGATGCAATTATTTGTACTAAATCAATCTTTATAAAATATAAAAAGCATTCTACTTTACTTTGCTGCTTCAACTTTGCAAAGCATCTTTAATTCTGAAATTGAATAATCTTTATGTATAATGCATTGTCCAATCAAAACAAGTCTTTAAAACACTATACAAAAACAAACTCTTAATCAAAGACCAACTATATAAATAGGTCATAAAACCTTTCATTATACAAAGCAGAACTGAAGTTACATCTTAGCAACAGACTGAATTTAAGGACAACTTAATCACTAGATTCAATAAGCAAAATGAACTACAGAGATTCTAGCACAAACTACATAGCCTACAACAGTAATGTCTGTAGCAAATTAAGCACCACCTTCATACATATCTTGATTGTTTCTATATTTAGGAAACAAAATTAATTCTGGTACAACTTCAACTAGATTGCCATCATCATATTCAACATCCCCACCAATATAACCTTCATTACAATCTTCTGCATCCGATTAAATTACTACGACCTCATTTTTAGAAAAAGGCATCTTTGTAGCTTCACTTCTTATATAACTAGATTCACCATCAATCTTCATCTTTGTCTCTTCTTCAACATCATTTTTCAACAATTGTAAATATAAAACCATTTCATGTGAAACCTCAGCTATATAACTAATGAAGATAATCACATTATGCAATTTACTCTCTTCTGGATTAGGAATCCAGATTTTAGGAACAAATGAATAAGAAGATGATGAATTTGATTTCCTCTTCATTTTCAAGAACGAAAAGCAAACTTAAATATGACAAAACTAAGTTGCTTACAAAGAATAAATATACAATATATACTTGTTCCTCAAGACAATAGATAAGTTTGTTTTTCTTCATTTTACTAAATGTCAGAAGTCTTACATAAGCAACTAAAACAGTTGACCAAAATATAGGATTCATAATTTAGAAATACATAAGTATATATATATATATATATATGGTCGGGATCCGGTGAGAACCACCCTTTATGTGAGGACACTCCTAATATATGAGAACAAATCTAAGCCTTAGGATCAAACAATATCAACGGCTCTAATAAATCCAAACTTTTGATATCAAACATAACAAAGGATAAACTGCTGCTACTCGGAAAAGCAGAGCAAAGAACTACGAGCTTCAATTTAAGTGAGATTCAAGAATTTCAAACATTATTCCGTTCGATTTTTATCAGATTTCAGCAGCAACAAGAATAAAAAAGCTTCATAGATTATACAGGTAAATAATCAACAAAAGTGTTAGTGTTTTCCGAATGTATTTTTCTTAATTTTTGTTAGTATTTTCGAATTTCATGGTTTGAATGTTGGATTTTCATTAAAATTTTACCAATGACTGATCTTAGCATCAAAATTTAAAAAATATATAACTCGCAAATTTGAGGATTTCAAATTGTTAGTATTTTTCAATTGCATGTTAGTGTTTTTCAATTGCATGTTAATCTTAGTGTTTGAGGATTTCAAATTGTTCAGTTCGAATTATTTTCGTTAATTGCATGTTAATTGCATGATAATTTTCGACTTTTGAGGTTTGTTCTGTTCTTATTGAATTACATGTTTAATTGCATCAATCGCTAGTTATTGAATTGCATGTTAATTGCATGATAATTTTTGATTTTTAAGGTTTGTTCTATTCTCATTGAATTGCATGTTTAATTGCATCAATTATTAATTTGATTGAATTTACTTCTTTGAAATTTTTTGAATTAAATCAATAATTTAGGTTTGATTAATTTGATAGAGATTGAAAATTTGCAATCAAATTTAAAATGAGCAAATGATTTGAAAATGAGCAAACTTAAATATTTGTAATAATATAAAAAAAATATAATGAGCAAACATAATTAAAATGAGAAAATCCAAAAAAAAATGAGTAAATATAAAAATGAGCAAATGAGCTAAATAAGTTGGTAATGGTGGTGGTGGTAAGGTGCAGGGGACAGGGGCGGCGGCGGGGGAGTGAGAGTGAGACAGGTTGTGGTGGTGATAGTGGTGGTGGTAAGGTGCATGGACAGGGGCGGAGGAAGGAGAAAGAGTTTGGTGGTGGCGGTGATTGTACGGTGTAAGGAAGAAGGTGAGAAATGACATTCAGCTCATTAACATGAGTTGCAGAAGCAGTGAAAGTGAAAGAGGTAGTTGTAGCTAATGAGCAAATATTTAGTTATTCATTTATCAAATGAGCAAATAATTAGTTGCTCATTTGTCAAATGAGCAAATACTTAGTTGCTAATTTCACAAATAAGCATTGAGTTATTTGCTCATTTGACAAATGAGCATTTAATTATTTGTTCATTTGACAAAAGATCAAAGAAATGTTTGCTTATTTAAAAAATGAGCATTGAGCTCCTTAGTGTGCTTTCCTGTGCACAAGCCGCACCCCCTTATTCTTGGTCTATTTCCTGCAACCAACCACACTCCCTTCTTCCACTTCCCTGCACAAACCTATCCCCCCTGCCCCTTCATCTTTCTGCCTGCAGTTCTGATTTCAGAAATTGTTGTGTGTGTGTGTGTGTGTGTGTGTTGTGTGTGTGTGTGAGTGAATGTAAGAGTGTATGTATAAGTGTGTGTGTTTGCTTCTGGCCGCGTACATTCTTATTTAAGAATCTGATTTCAGTTCTAATTATTGAGAGTCTGTGTGTAAGTGTGTTTAAGGGGGTGCACATTCACTTGTTACTATATTGTGGAATTGTTAATGACTTGTTATTTCTATTATATTTAATGTCAGAAATGATGAGCAACAACGAACAACTTGGCAGTCATTCTAGTACCATCACAAATGTGCCAACTACTCCTACAATAGTAGTTTCTCCTAAAGTAGCACCTTTGCTCACTCCCGGAGGAACAAAAGAATGGCTTCCAATATGCCCCAATGAGTTGAAACCAGCTATAGGGATGAAGTTTAATACTCTTGAAGAAGGCCTTGAATTTTATAAAAGTTACGCATTTGCTGCTTGATTCAACACAAGAAAGTCTACAACTAAAAGACAAAGAGGAAGCAAAGAGTTGAAATCACAATATATTTTATGCAATAAGGAAGGATACAAAGAGAAAAGAAAGGCTACTGTTGAAAAATATTTAAATAACAAGGAAGGAGAAAGCAATGAAGAAAAAGCTTCAATCAAAAGGAAGAGACTTGTTACCCGTGTTGGGTGTAAGACACATATTGTCATAAAGCATTGTGATGACAACAAATTCATAGTGTCACAGTTTCATGAGGGACATACGCATGCACTTTATACACCTAGTTGCAATCTCTTCCAAAAAGAAGAAAGGAAAATGAACATATTGCACAAAAAAATAATTGTGAATAATTCTAAGGTAACACTTTTAAAGTCTGTTATGTTTCATGAATAATCTATATGTTCTAATAAAAGCTGTTTGCTCATATGACTAATGAGCAAATAATTATTTGCTCATTTGAAAATTGAGCATTATATTGTTTGTTCATTTGAAAAATGACCATTAAATTGTTTCCTCATTTTAAAAAGGAGCATTAAATTGTTGAGCATTGAATTATTTGTTCATTGGACAATCTGTTTTGTTCTTTAAATAGGTGAATATTGGCCCCATTACAACTTTTCGAATGATGAAGGAAATTGTTGGAGGTTATGATAACATTGGTGCATCTAAGCAAGATTTCAAAAAATTTCATAGAGATTTAAAAGCATACATTCAAGGAAGTGATGCTCAAATGTTTGTGGATAACTTTACCAACAAAAAGCTAATGTGGAGCGCTTTTTCTTTGATTTTAAGATGGATGAAGATTATTGCCTTTGTAGAGCATTGTGGGCAGACCCCCTTTGTAAAAAGAGTTATGCTCTATTTGGTGATATGGTATCCTTTGATATCACATACCAAACCAACAGGTAATACATAACAATCACAATTCATTTTTATGTTATAAAATTGTTTGCTAATTTCAATGTGAAAAGTGAATATCGCCTTAAGTCTAATATTCTGTAATAAGAGTTTGTATGTGGGCAGTGAATTGCATGTTCATTTAACAAATGAGCACTGAATTATTTGCTCATTTGACAAATGAGCAAAGAATTGTTTGCTTATTTCACAAATGAATGAGCATCGAGTTATTTGCTCATTTGACAAATGAGCAATAAATTATTTGATCATTTGTCAAATGAGCATTGAATTATTTGGTCATTTAAAATTTAATCTGTATGTGTAAATAGGTACAACATGGTGTTTACTCCATTTACAGGGGTTGACCATCATAAGAGCTGCATTACTTTTGCCGCTGGTTTCATAGAAAAGGAAGATATTGTGTCATTTGAGTGGTTGTTCAGATCATTTCTCAAGGCAATGGGGGTGAATGAACCTAATTGTATGATCACGGATCAGGATCCAGCAATGAAAATAGTTGTTAAAAGTGTGTTTAAGAAGAATGAACATCGGTTCTGTATGTGGCACATAATGAAAAAGTTACCAGATAAGGTGGAGAAATCAATCATGCAAGAAGAAACTGGTTTCCTAAAAAAAAATATGTGCTTGCGTTTGGCATCTTGAAATTGAACCCGTTGAGTTTGAAGAAAGGTGGAACAAGGTGATGGTTGAATACCACTTGGAAGATCATGAGTGGTTAGGTTATACGTACAAGATAAGGGATAAGTGGATTCCGGCGTATTTCAGAGATGTGTTCCTTGGAGGAATAATGCGTACAACATCAAGATCTGAAAGCGAAAACAACTTTTTCTGCTCCTTTATCAATCCTCATGTGTCACTTGTTGAGTTTTACTTGAGATATGAAGCTGCTATTGATGCCCAGAGACATACTCAAGGTCAGAATGATAATGATTCAAAGCACAAATATCTTGAGTGCAAAACACCACTGGGGATAGAAAAGCATGCCTCACATTTATATACTAACTCTGTCTTTTATGAATTTCAATATGAGGTTGAAATTGCTTGTTTTTCTTGTGGTGTTTATGAATTGAAGAAAGAAAATGGATTGGATGTTGCAAAAGTAAGTGAAGGAAATCGGATTAGAACATTTGATGTTGTGTTTAATCTAACTAACTATGACACCACATGTTCTTGCTAGCTATTTTATAGGCAAGGAATTCCATGTAGACATATGATTTGGGTTTGGAAAGAAAAAAGGTTTGAAACCATTCCTGAGCAGTATATGCTACACAGACGGACTACTATGGCACTGAAAAAACCAATTTTTGACTTGGGTGGAAACCTGTTGGAGCAATGTGCTAATTTAATTGACAAGAAAAAATTGTTAAATGATTTATGGTCAGAGATACACACTTGTGTAAGTTTGGCAGAAGGCAATGATGAAGATATTCAAGACCTTGTGATAAATCTTCAAGGAATAAGAAAGGATTTGGAGGCTAATAGGATTGCAAGAAATAATGAAACAACAGCTGGAAGTGCAAATAACAAAGGACAAGACATTGAACTATTAATTGGAGCTAATGTGCCAACTGAAATAATTGTCAAACCTCCAAAAATTTCAAAGAATAAGGGGACTGGAGTTCATGTATCAAATGAAGAGACTTCAAAAGAGAAAGGGGCTGAGATTGATGTGCCAAATGTTGAAACAAAAGGTAGAAGTGCAAAAAGGCTGAAAGGAGAAAAAGAAAAGGTTGTAGAACAAAACCAGAAAAAGAAGAGATTATGTAGAGGTTGTGGTGAATTGAGTCATCATGATATTAGAAATTGTCCAAACAAAGTGTAATGATACTTTTATACAAATATAAAATTTAATATTTTTATATAAATATAAGATTTAGCATTTTGTGTTTTTAATTTTGTTGAAATGAGCAAATAGTTAATTACTCATTTGTCAAACGAGCAAACATTTCTTTAATCATACATTAAATCAACAACCATTTCTTTGCTCATTTGTGAAATGAGTAAGCATTAGTTTGCTCATTTTTCAAATAAGCAAATAATTAGTTACTCATTTGAAAAATAAGGAAACATTTCTTTGCTCATTTAGCAAATGAGCAAATAGTTAGTTGCTCATTTGTCAAATGAGCAAATATTTATTTGGTTATTTGGCAAATGAACAATTATATACTAACTCTGTTTTGCAAATGAACAATTAATTTTTTGCTCATTTAAAAAATGAGCAAATAGTTAGTTGCTCATTTGTCAAATGAGCAAATAGTTAATTAGCAATTTAACAAATGACCAACAACTTAGTTAATAAGAACATTTGTCACATGTGTCCCATTAAAAACATCATAAAACTAACACTTCTATTGTTCTATACAAATCCTAAGAACATCATAACAATTGATCAACTTCAGTCTTCAATTCTCTCTGTGAATGCTCTTAGATTGCTGCCCCTAGCTTTCTTCAATATCACTTGCTTCCTCAGCCTTTTTTTTCTTTTGGACAACTTGTTTAACAGGTTTAACAATATTTACTTCACTTGAAATAATTGAGAAGGTATACTTCAAACGAAGTTTTTCAATGATTATGGCCTGCAAAGAAAAAAAATGAAGCAATAATTCAGGGTAAGTAATGGCTTCATGCATGAATATCAACAAGCAGCTCACAAATTTTAACCTAAATTGCAATTAAAATCAAAAATGGATAAAAAGTGCAGTGGAGAGTACATGCAGTGGAGTTTTGTTATGTGCTGATATACTGGCAATAGCTGCCTGAAATTCAATACTATTGGTATGTCTTATTGGGATGCATATAAAAAAATCACAATAGAGCTCAAAGCTACTTTTAGATCATAGCCACATTTATAATACTTATATGAGAGGAACATAGCCACATTTAATACTCATATGAGAGGAACATAGCCTGTAAGTTGCAACAACAAGCATGAAATGTGAAAGACTTACATTATTTTTCTTTAAACCTGAATTCCACTTTTGCAAACCCATATATGTTTCCATATGCCTCATCATTGCAACACCATAATGCAAATGATCATCATCTGAAGACTTCCAGGGTAAATCAATCAGTACAGACTCCATAGACTTGATCTGTTTTGAAAAAACAACACTTTGTATACTTCCTTCACCATCCATGAAATATGAAAATGCACTTTTCTGAAAATGAACAAATAAGTTAAAATAAGAACAAAAACAGGTAGAACAAATATAGTCAGAACAAGCAAAACAAGATCAAGATAAACAACTAAACTCTAATCATTTTTCTAAAATAAACTAACAAAATCTTGAGCCATTACTGCTACCTACCCACACAAACCTACCCACACATTACACAATTATGATTTCAGAAACTAATTTCAGAATTTGATTTCAGATTCTATTACAGGTTGTGAGTGTGTGTATGTGTGCTTGTGTGTGTGTGTGTATGTGTGCGTGTATGTGCGTGTATGTGTGTGTGTGTGCGTGCGTGTGTGTGTGTGTGCATGTGTATGTGTGTGTGAGTGTGTGTGTGTGTGTGTGTGTGTGTGTGTGTATTTTCTTGTTATGGGAGAAAGGAGAAATTCAAAGGAGAATCCTGAAAGGGTTAGGATGCCGCCGTCACTGGCTCCGCAAGGACATGGAATTTCATTCAGGGATCTAATGAGAGGAGACATGAATAAAGAATCTGGTAACAACATGACAGGCATCAATGGAGATATTGATGATGAAGTGATTTATGATGATGAAGAAGTGCCAGAAGACATACCAGATTTTAAGAAATTTCTTATTTTCCCTAGGACCTTCACTATAATCAATAACCTCAATTGTACCATGCTCTGTGGTGGTGTTAAAACATACCAGATAATAATGATCTTTTTCAAATCCTGGGAAAAAGAAAAGCTCAATATCTTTCTTTGGGATGATTGTTTTGCTGAATTCCAATTCCACAACCTCACAAAACATTTTATTCTTTTCTTGAGCACGATCACTTTCGTATTGAAAAAGGCAATCCTAAAAAAATGCATAAAGAAAAATACATAAATAAGATGAATATAAATGAAAAGAGTAAATAAGAAATGATCAAAGTGAATATGAAATGAGAAAAGTCATATAAAATGAGTAAATTGAAATTTTTTTGACAAATGAGCAGTGAATGTTTTGCTCATTTGACAAATGAGCAAAAAATTAACTGCTCATTTGGCAAATGAGCAAAAAGTTAATTGCTCATTTGACAAATTAGCAAATGCAAGACAATACACTACAAAGTGTAAACAAACAACCATGACATGATTATGCCTTGAAGATAACTATAATAGGCAAAGTTCTTAAATTAGTTCTGTATTTCAAATACTTTATCAAAAGATTTTATGTTATTTAGTATCCAATAAGAGACTTAGATTAGTTCAGTATTTATTTTTTGTTCATTTGTCAAATGAGCAAGAATAATTTGACAAATAAGCATTAAACAGTCTGCTCATTTGACAAATGAGCAAAGAACTAATAATAGTTTTTGCAAATACAAAACAACATCTACATTCAAATATAAAAAATTATATGAAATGAGAAAAGTGAACATGAACAAAATAAAACAAAATAAAATGAACGACTTGAACTTACAATTGCATTAAGACTGAAAAAGAAACGTCCACTAGAATTGATATCTCTATATTGCTCATTATAATTCAGAATAGTAGACCATGCATTAATGATATCGCCATGAATTTTGCTCCAAGTTTTTAGGATTTCAAGTTGAAATAGCATTACTTCACTATCAGGCTCACCCTCGCATAAAGACCCTGCATCACTACATATAAGATTTAGGGAAGTTAAAATAATTTTAATCGTAGATATGTAAAGTGAGAATATAGAGCTAGACTTGTTTTAAGAAAGAAAAATAAGGTCAGTTGCCAATTTCCAGAACTGAAAAATTGAATAAATACTTACAAACGATTTTTCTTCTCATGAAAAAATGAATCCATAACACCTTTCTGAACTGCTGTTAATGGTGTATAAATGTTGATAATTCGAGACTGAAAAGGAGATCTTATCTGCAACGATGGTTGCACTTTACGCTTCTTTGGAATATAACTCTCATTTTCAGCATCTTCTTTTCTCTTTAGTGCAATTGGATCTTCTTGAGCATTCAGAGCATCAGCAACAGCAGCAACAACTGATTTAGAAGCACCAACTTGTGCACTGACAGGAGCAACTACAGGTTCATCAGTAGGTGCAATGCTAGGGGACTTCTCCTGAGAATCAGTTTCTTGAGAAGAGATTCCTAAGCTGAATGAAGGAGTTCCACATCCTTTGGCGACTGGACTTCTTAAATTATATCTCATACTTGACTCTCCAAGTTTTTTAAACACATGTTCAGGAGCCCTAGGCTGTATGATAACGGATGGAGCTTCAACATCAGGTATACCACTTGCTATGTGAACACATTCAGCAACAATCTTAGTAACATCAATTGGTTCTGATTCAATCAGATGATCAACCCTAGCATTGATTGTAGATTCATCATGCTTGTCATTGCCTGAAATCTTTGAAAACCTATCTCATGCTTCAATTACAGCTGGATCTTGCCAATACTGTTCATCTTGGCTAAATGAGAGAGGAATATCTTCAGTCAAAGCTTCAGAGCTCATCTTCTACTCATCACAAATGGTCATTGCATTTTCCTTCAGCTTTTGAATCTTCTCATTATTTGGAAAATACTTGACAGCAGTTTCATGTTTTTGACTAAAATCCATGTATGCCAAGACTAGATTTGTAGATGCTGTTGCAAGCTCCATAAGGCATTTCTGTAAATAAAAAAAACATAATAAGATGAATATAAAAGAAAAGAGTAAATATGAAATGAGCAAAGTGAATATGAAATGAGCAAAGTGGATGTGAAATGAGCAAAGTCATATAAAAATGAGCAAATTAATATAAGTTTTCAGAAATGTCATATAAATACCTTCTTTGGATCTTGTTCAATTTCTTCATTTTTTGTATGAATTGGATCACATTGTTCCTAAAATCAAGCAAAAACAAAAAAAAAAAAAAAAAAAAAAAAGTTAGAACAAGTTGAAAGCAAATATCCTAATTATTTGCTCATTTGACAAATAAGCAAAGTGGATATGAAATAAGCAAAGTCATATAAAATTGAGTAAATTGAACTTTATTTGACAAATGAGCAAAAAATAATTCAAGAAGAGTATCAAGTCTATCAACTATTTAATACTAAGAAACGAAAGGTTGTCGAACAAGTTAAGAAGAAAAACACAAAATTCATCCAAATCACACACAGTAAAATCAAGAAAAACAAAATTTATCCAAATCACACACAGTATCAAATGAGCAAAAAATAATTGCTCATTTGACAAATGAGCAAATATTTTTTTGCTGATTTAGGAGGTCCATTAATGTGCTATAAAGAGCACCACATTGCATCATTTTCCTAAAAGCAAGATTTGTTCCAATTCAATTCTACAAGCAATGCCAAAGACATAGAAAAACTAAGTATTGGTTACAAGTGAAATACCATTTTTGGTTGTTTGCTGCCAGAAGGACCAACAAGCTTCTGATTTTTATCAAAAAGTCCAAGCCTCCCCTTAAAATTTCCAATTTCTCACGACTTGACAACATATTGGTTGTTCAACCTTTGAGAACTAGATTTTCTTGTTTGGCTCTAACTTCCTCAATGACAAACTGATCAACATATAAAAGCTACAAACAAGTAAGATAGAAAAAATTAGTACATTAAAATTAAACAAATATCAATTAATACATACAATAAGTACAAACAAGTAAGAAAAAATAATTAGTAAATTAAAAATCAACAAATAAGTAAGAAATACTACATTACAAAAAACAAAAATTATAGTAATACCATAAGAAACAGTAAAGACCCAGGAAAAGAAGGAGTTTGACGTTTTTCCCAGAAAAGCTTAGCCGTCACAAGTGAATCAAGGATATACTTGCACCAATTCAAGTCCTTTATTTTATCAACATCAGAAAGAAATGTGAGAATATCAAAATTGATATTCACATTTTTGTTTCCCTGACAAAAAAATGAGCAAAACAAAAGAAAAATGAGCAAAAGGAAATTTAAATGAACAAAATATAATATAAATAAGCAAACAAAATTGAAAATGAGCAAACTGCTATAAAATTTAAAACCATGATGTTGACTCTCCACCTTTTCCTGATGATATAATTAATTTTTAATATGACTTGAAATTTTCTAACAAGTATGTTAATATGGAGTATGTACCAAATCCTATTCCAGATTTGTTCACCCATCTCATCATTGACTAACAACAATAATCCATCAAATTATACAAACTACTTAGATAGCCCAAAAGATAAATACATATATATAGATCTTATACCGGGGAGTATTTCTACTTATTCTGAAAGGGTCAACAATCTCTATCTGATGATGTATAGTTTCAAGTAGCATTCACTCTAGATTGGATTAGTTTCTTGTTAGTGCGGTAACTGATTCTTGTTGTTGCTGCAGTAACTGATTTTATACATATTTGACTAACAACTTAAGCAATATAATTGCTATATATAGCACACAATTGCTAAGTGCTAACTATAACTAAAAATAAGAAGTTTACCATCCATCAATGAAGACACGCATAGCACTACAAAGTTCCTTTTGAACATAAGACCAGCTGAGTTATGCTCTTTCAGAAACTCTTTCAGCTCCCCTATTTTGATAGAGAGTGAGTTGCTTTTGAATTGCTTCTTCCATTGCTGAATCACTCTCTTATCTCTGGAAAAATT